CTAGCAAACCATTATTTAAAATAATCAAAATCATTTGAAGTGAAAATATCAGTAAGGTTTATAAATTCTAACACACAAAGATTTAATTAGTTACCATGATATAATGTCGTATTTCATATTTTTTTAAGAAAGTGATTTGATTATAGCTTTCCAATCAAGCGCGTATCTTGAATACCACAACACGTCGAAGGGGAGCGGGAATACCAGCTAGAAGACTATAAAAATGGTTCTCGCTAATCAATGTTTAATTTAAATAATTCTGTAGTTGTCTGAATTCTGTCCATTAGTGTGCATCACGTCTATTCAAAAATTAATAAATTGACCACGTTCGATGGGATACAAAAATATGTTACCCTTCTTATTTTGGGTGCGATGTTCGTGCGCTAAAAACTTTCCGTAGGTTTCAACTTTCACAAGAAAACGCCAACAAATACTACATTATCATGCAAATCTGACTAAAAAATATATTAAGAAAACTGATTCACTATACGTTCAGCATTGGTTTGCTTGTTACCACAGTGTCTACTTTAACTAACTCCGTCGCTAACGGGGAGAACACAGACTCGCGTTCGGGGAAAATGTAAATTATAAAGAATATAATATCATGCTTTCTAGTTTAAGCAATCAAAACGTAGGCCTATTCACTTTAAGCTCGTAAATACATGTTTAACTTTCCGTCTCGCAATTCAACAAAATGTCCAGAAATACCGGCAGTAATTTGATATTATTAAGAGAAGGTTTGAATTGGAGTGTTCAATAAGCGACAATAAGTGGTTTTTTGTAGACACAAAATGTTACATGTATTATGTTAGTGTTTCATCCGTGCTGTTCTACAGAATTAGAAACTTCGACGGGAGCTATAGCGACAGGAGAATGTTTCTAATTTCTGTAGAACAGCTAAAGATGAACACTAACATATTTAGTGTCAAGCTTTATTTGGCCCTTGATTACGTCACTACGCGGTACTATGAAAAAATAGAAGGCGACTATGAACGGATTTCAATATAGTATCGACTTTTTTTCTTCTGTGAAAATTAACACCCATAATTTTTAAGAAATACAGCGTTTTCATTGGATGACAAATAAAGCTGGACACTAAATAATTATTTTGTTTATATGAAGGGTAGATCGAGTCAAAGAGAAACATCGAGTGACGTTCTCAATAATTTTAGCCTTCCTAAAATTTGAAAATATTCAGTGTGTTACAAAAACAATAGATCTAAAATCTAGCATTTTTTTCGCAGGAGAAAAAATACCACGTATAGTATATTTTGTAGCTAAAAGAGTAAGATTTACAGAAGTCTTGAATAACGATAAATATGTAGGGAAACTATTTCTGAGAAATATAAAAAATGTTCAAAAAGCATAAAATCAAAACGAATTTCATATGTAGTTAATGAAAGAATTATTGTACTGTTGAAAGATTCATGTCATTTTAAGTGTGTTTAAAATTATTTTTAAATGTTAGAAATCTATCAAAAGTTTTATATTATTAATATATGAATTGAACGTGGAATTTGCAAAATCTGGGTTTACAAAAATTATTTTAAATGCCATCAAGACAAATTTATCTCAACGCTTAAAATTATCTGTTTGAGGTTACATATGCCTAACCGCCCTCTGTCAATGCCGCAACTGTAATCATCCATAAAAAGCGCGAGGCATTTTTGTTACGTCATATATTTCGTCAATTGTTGTTGACGTAATAAAGTTGTTTTTTTTTCGTCAGGAATCCATGATAAGCATTGTGATGTAGACAACTAAAATTTATGGGCCGTTCTTGAATTATGGATTTGGAACATGCCTGAATTATGATGTGTTTCATTTACATATTTCATTTGCTAACCCAGATAACTCCACAAATTGAAGAATGTTTTAATAATGAGACGGATTATCAGTTTAAAAAATCTGGATCATCAAAAGTGTAGGAGTCATGACTCATGTCATTAAGGATTTTTGAAGTCAAAAAGTGGGATCTACGGAACTGGATAGAAACTGGCAATGAAGGAATCTTCATATGCGAATTTGTCGTGACGTTTATAAAGTTCATCGGATTCTATTCAGCTTAAAAGTAAGTGCAATTTCTAGATCTAATCCGTGTGACTCGGTGTTCTTGTTGCTAATTTTTCATTTTTTAAAGTTTTCCATCATGCATTGCAACTAAACCGTTACATCTTGTAGATCCAGCTTTGTAAAATAATCATGAAACGACCCCGAGAACCTCATGTATATATTAGAAACATGACACGTGCTTTCTCCCGTTCATCTTCAAATGAAGAGTACTTCGGCAATGGCTACGGAAAATAAACAACAGAGATTTTCCATAGAGAAATCAAAATTTGCTTTCACAAGAAAAGTAGACACTTTAGAGTAAAATCCTGAAAAATCTCGAGGGTGACTTTTTTTTAGTTTACAAAAATGTTTTACTTTTTATTCAACGTCGTTTTGTTAATTCATACCAGGCAAAAGTTCATTTCCATTTTTAATGGGACAGACTATAGTATGTTTATTATCAGCCAGGAAGACATATTTAGCAAGTTTACATAACACACCAGATTGACTGCAAGTTAACAGTGCTTGACATTTCTGAATAGTTGGCCAATGGCAATAATATTTTGGGAGACATTGATTTCTTAAAGTACGATATGGCGGACAGACAAGAACAAAATGATACTCATCTTCTATGACATTCATGTTACAAAAGATACATTTCCTTTCCACCCTATCAATGTTTCTATTGCAAGTTTATGAGCAAAAAACCGCAGTCTAGTTAATGCTATTCTATGCTTATTCACCTTAACACATAACAAATATTTTTCAATATCAAATCATCTAACAGTGATTTAACCCTTAGGGCCCATGAATCTTTCACCAGGTTAAGCTTATCATACATAAAACATTTATGAATTAATGTATCCGGAGACCTAACAATCTTACACCAATACTTAAAAATTTGTTCTTTTCTTAAGATATCAAGAGGCACTTTACCAAGCTCACCATAGACAGTTGCATTCGTTGTCTGGTATTTAACATTCAAAATTGATTTCAAAAACTTAATATAAACCTTTTCCATATCTGGGGCTTTGTGGAACCCCCAGATCTCACAACCATACTTAATATTGGCAGTATCATTGAGTCAAATAACTTGAGTTTTTCACTAATACCAAGAGGTACAGCTTCAAATAAAGAATTTAATGTAAACAAAGCTTTTAAAGCCTGTTCTGACAAAGCTTTTTGGGCACCAAAACATTTACCACTTGCAGACAATGTTACACCTAGATAACAAAATTTACTAACAACATCTAAACGTGCGTTATCGTAATATACATCAATATGTTCTTGCCTATCACCTAATTTACAGATCATAACAGATGATTTACTTCTGTTTACAGATATATTCCATTTCAAACAGTAAGCATGTAGTTTGTTCATTAAAGTTTGTAAACCATCTACAGAGTAGGAAAATAAAACTGTATCATCAGCAAAAAGTAACAGGAAAACTTGCAAATCGTTTAAGGATATTAAATCAGCATTTATATCAAAAACACTCTTTTCCATATCATTTATAAACAATATGAACAATAGGGGAGATAATGTCTCACCCTGCTTAACTCTGTTGTAACTATCAAAATAATTAGTCAATTTACCATTGGAAGGGACACAATCATATCTTAACATTATTGTACATATTGTATATTATATGTATTTTAATTCATCAATTCTGGCCCAATAATTAAAGGTGGTGGGGTTTTGTCCACTCTGTAAAATTGAAGGTGTGGGGTTTTGTCCACTCTGTAAAATTTAGGTATGGGGTTTTGTCCTCCATAAAATTATGAGGTGTGGGGTTTTAACTGGTGGGGTTTTGTCCATCTTCCGAAACATATACATAAACGTCTGTGCAGACATGACCATCTTCAATATCAGATAAATATCATTAGCTATATATATTATTAGGTTACTATGCATTGTTGAGTCTAATAATGAATTCTATGAGTCCAAAAATATTTTCAGTCATTTAAACTAGTTATTATGAAAATTTAGAAAATAAAACATTGAGATAAAATCTTTGACATTTGTATGACAAGTGAATTGGACTGTGACAAGATCAATGTTTAACTTATCATGATTGCCCTTAATTATGTATTAAACCGGCAGCTGATATTTCAAGCAATTTTATGGCTAATTAAGCAGTTAAAAAGTAATTTATATTAAATGAACCATAATGGGGATACTATATCTTTTTGTTTCTTTTTATAATCTATGCTTATATATGTTAATAATATACAATATAAATGATACAGATTTTCATATCTCTCTTTTAGGTGAATACCACAATCCAATTTGTAATATTTTCTTCGAAAAAGTCAAGCTAAAAAACTATTGCAATTTACAATATAGATATATAAAGCTGCGAGTGACATGAATATTATTTCATGGATAAAATCCAGTATTTCACTTGCTTATTAGGATAAAATTAATATACAGTATTAATCACAAAGGGGACTTTAAAAAAACAATACATCGGCTGCCCCAAGTTGTTAAAAATCTTGAACATTTACACAATTCAAATGTTTTTATTGCAGTTTAAGAGTTATAGATGTATGGTTAAATTAGTTGTGTCATAGTTTAGCAGGATTATTTTGTGCTCACTGAACTTGAGGTGTATATGTAATTGACAGGCAGATAGATAGGGCACTTGAGGACTTAAAAACATTGTATAATGCCTTCATCCTATTTCAGAGTTGTTGTTTATTTTGTCCCAGACTAAAGGTCTTATAACTCTAATTAGGTGATAATTGATTTATTTTCGTTTAAGCAAAGTAAATTAGAAAATACTGATAGCAGTTCATAAAGCTTTTATATAACAATCGTAATAATTAACTTAATATATTTCTTAAACTAAAACCAAAGCAAGACTAGTATTAAATAAGTTGATGTACTGTGTTTGTTAAAATGGGCCACATTTGCCAAAGTGGCATAATTCTGATCAAGTTACTTACTTGATCTATGTCAAAAGTAGCACCCGCCTGAAGGCACCGGATAATTTCTTCTAAATTTCCTTTACTGGCTGCATGACGTAGATGATCTGATATTGTATTGGTCCTCTGGATACCGACTTCCATACTATCATCTGAAAAATCAACAATTTTTATGTCTCATTTAATATATCTGTACAACATTATAACAAATCATAGTGATCTGATCATTATTTTCAAATAAACTGTAAATTATCATAAAGAGTTTATTTACAGCCAATATGTAAAGCCATATGAGGTGATGCGAAAATAGTGCCCACATTCTATATTTCAAATCACAATTCGTATCACATACTTTATACCACATTAATCATCATGATTTAATTTTATTGTACTAAGGTATAATGATACTGGTCATGTAGCTCAAGACTTGCTCTGCTAACTTAAATTAAGTGCAGTGTCATAGACTGCTTATTTTCAGAGTTAAATACTAAATGTTTGGACTTTGGAATTGCTCTAAGTAAAGACTATCCATTATTGATGCATTTCTGCTAGCCAACAAGGATTATGTTTTGAAATCATTACCACTATCAATAATCAGGGACAGAGATAATACAGTTCTTGTAACATCAAAACAAGGTAATATAATGATTAAACATCTCTTTATCCATACCCTGATATTAAAATACACTTAAAGTCAAGTATTGATAGCACTGATAAGCAAAGTGGCTTCCCATCACCATTTCAACAACTAGCATAATTTAAAAACACTGACATAATGTGACAAGTACACTAATATCAGCAAAAAACTGTATTATGAAAATAGCATCAATTTCTTTGCAATGGCAACTCCAAGGTGACTGTAACAATGCCTCTTTACATTTTTTTTTAAAAAAAAAAAAAAAGAAGAAGAAAAATCAAGCTAAAAATGCTTAAAATTAGCAGAATAAAGGTGGTAATTTGCAAAAACAAAAGTTGTCAGTAGCAGAGTACGCTCAACTATTTTCATAGTGTTTGAGCCTGGATAAAATCACAGACTTTTGGGAGTCAGAATGGGACATCTATTACAACCATAGAACTGGTTTTCAAACTAGTTTTACATATATGAAAAAAATACTGTATACCATCAAGACTGGGATTTGATTTACGCTTGGACAAAACACTACTTATGAACAAAGAAAGTGTTAAATAATACAAATAAACTTAAAATGACATTGACAACCAAGGTCAAATTACATCCACTGAATTTTGCCTCAGTGTGTTGAAATTTTGCTCTTTATATTATTCTTACAGCAAAGCTTTCAGTTATTTCTTGAAAGTCAACAAGATATTATCAGAATCTCTGGGTAGATTTACATCTATTGGTCAATTAAAACTATAAACTTGTGCTAAACAAATCAAACAAGGCATAAACTAGAAATGTGTCCATAGTACACGGATGCCCCCACTATCCACTGTTAGGTCAGTCTACTGACATATTGCAGGATAGTATTATAGAGGGTAGAGGGACAAAGAAAATTCTACAAGAGACCCCATACCCCTAAGTAGTTGGGGCATAAAAATGACATAAAATTTTTCCATTGAACTGCAATACCTCCAAATCTCAATTTTATATCCTAAAGTATGCTTAATAGAAACAAGAGGGCCATGATGGCCCTGAGGTCGCTCACCTGTATATAGCCCCCCCCCCCCCCCCCGGCCCAATTTTTACCCAAGGGCTTTTATTTGTTTATTTGAACAGACTTGGTAGACACCCATAAGAAGATGTTTCATGCAAAACATCTAAGTTCTAGCTCATTGGGTTTTTTAAAAGAAGATTTTTTAAGTTTTTACTATACACATAGAGTAAAAAACAATGACACCCCTCGGGCAGGGCCAGTTTTGACCCCTGGGCTTTTATTTGAACAAACTTTGTAGATATTTACTTAAAGATGTTTCATGCTTAATATCTAAACTCTAGTTATTTGGGTTTTTTCAAAGAAGATTTTTTAAGTTTTTGCTATGTTATATAAGGAAAATCAATGACCCCCGGGCGGGGCCAGTTTTGACCCCAGGGCTTTTATTTGAACATACTTGGTAGACACCCATTAGAACATGTCTCATGCTGAATATCTTAGCTCTAGCTCTTTGGGTTCTTTAAAAGAAGATTTTATAAGTTTTTACTATATGCATATAAGGAAAATCAATGACCCCTGGGGAGGGGCCAATTTGGACCCCAGGGGTTTTATTTGAACAAACTTGGTAGACATTCACTAGAAGATGTTTCATGCCAAATATATAAGCTTTAGCTCTTACAGTTCTTTAAAAGAAGATTTTTTAAGTTTTTACTATATGCATATAGGGAAAATCAATGACCCCTGGGGCGGGGCCAATTTTGACCCCAGGGCTTTTATTTGAACAAACTTGGTTTACATGCACTAGAAGATGTTTCATGCCAAATATCTAAGATCTAGCTCTTACAGATCTTTAAAAGAAGATTTTTTAAGTTTAAACTATATGCATATAGGGAAAATCAATTACCCCCAGGGCGGGGCCAATTTTGACCCCAGGGCTTTTATTTGAACAAACTTGGTAGACATTCACTAGAAGATGTTTCATGCCAAATATCTAAGCTCTAGCTCTTTGGGTTCTTTAAAAGAAGATTTTTTAAGTTTTTACTTTATGCATATAGGGAAAATCAATGACCCCCTGGGGCGGGGCCAATTTTGACCCCAGGGCTTTTATTTGAACAAACTTGGTAGACATTCACTAGAAGATGTTTCATGCCAAATATCTAAGCTCTAGCTCTTACAGTTCTTTAAAGGAAGATTTTTTAAGTGTTTACTATATGCATATAGGGAAAATCAATGACCCCCCGGGGCGGGGCCAATTTTGACCCCAGGGCTTTTATTTGAACAAACTTGGTAGACACTCACTAGAAGATGTTCCATGCCAAAAATCTTAGCTCTAGCTCTTACAGTTCTTTAAAAGAAGATCTTTTAAGTTTTTACTATATGCATATAGGGAAAATCAATGACCCCCAGGGGGCGGGGCCAATTTTGACCCCAGGGCTTTTATTTGAACAAACTTGGTAGACACTCAATAGAAGATGTTTCATGCCAAATATCTAAGCTCTAGCTCTTAGGGTTGTTTAAAAGAAGATATTTAAAGATTTTTCTTTCGGTTGCCATGGCAACCAGAGTTCTGCATGGAATTAAATTCTTTGAACAATTTTTAAAGGTGACCACCAAAGGAACATTCCTGTGAAGTTTGGATGAAATTGGCTCAGTGGTTTATGAGGAGATGTCATTTAAAAGCAAAAGTTTACGGACGGACGACGGACGGACGACGGACGGACGGACGGACGCCGGACGAAAAGCGATCACAAAAGCTCACCCTGTCACTTTGTGACAGGTGAGCTAAAAACGAGAGCTGTCACAAAACGTGACAAATGCCCTCGAAGGATTCTAGTTATAAACCACCTATTACCATGTTAAGTGTGGTGGTAAAAATTGACAAAGTTCGAACCCCAGCAGTGACCTTTAAGTTAGACAAAGAAACCTGGGTCTTGTTCACAACACATTGTCCATCTATGGTGACTTTATATTTTTAAATAAAAATTGAAACTTTCATGTATATGGAAGTTACAGAGCGGACACAACAACCACCATTTATATGTATATAACATAAATATTGAAAAAGTTTAAACCCCAGCAGTGACCTTGAACTAAGGCGTAGGAACACGGGTCTTAAGGGCAACACATCATACATTTATGATAATTTCATATGTGAAATAAAAAATATAATCCTTTCATGCATATTAGTTTCAGAGCAGACACGACCATCTCTGCCTATATGTATATTAACATCAAAATTGACAAAGTTTGAACCCCACAGTGACCTTGATCTTACACACCATACATCTGTGGTAAATTCAAATGTGAAAGAAAATTTAAAATCCTTTCATGCACACCCAAGTTTCAGAGCAGACATAACCACCAACTTCTATATTTATATAACATAAAAATTTAAAATGACAAAGTTTGAATCCCCAGAGTGACCTTAACCTTAGTCAAAGAAACCCAGTGACACACCATAGATCTATGGTTATTTCATATGTGAAAGAAAAATTACAATCCTTTCATGCATACTGAAGTTTCTGAGCGGACATGATCACCACCATCTATATTTATATAACATAAAAAATGACAAAGTTTCAACCCCCACAGTGACCTTGACCTGAGTCTTGTTTGCGACACACCATACATCTATGTGAAAGAAAAATTAAAATCCTTTCATGCATTTTGAAGTTTCAGAGCCGACATTACCACCACCTTCTATATTCATATAATATAAGAAATGACAACAAAGTTTGAACCCCCACAGTGACCTTGACCTTTAAGGCTTAGTCATAGAAACCCCAGTCTTGTTCGCAACACACCATACATCTATGGTAAATTCATATATGAAAGAAAAATTAAAATCCTTTCATGCATACTGAAGTTTCAGAGCAGACACGACCACCACTGTCTATATGTATAAAGCCGAACGGACGGACAGACGGATAGTTCGATTTTAATATGCCACCCTTCGGGGGCATAAAACAAGCAAATATTCAATTGCTAACCAATATTCCTGTAAAGTTTCAAGACTCCAGGTCAAATACATTTTGAGCTACACGCAGCACAAGTTAAAAATTGCAAACTTTTACGAAGTTAAGAGCAAATATTTCAAATATACTCTACCAATACTGAATAAATCTACAAGTAAACACTTAGGTGTATAACTGCACAAGATGACCAACAAACCTGTAAAGTTTCATGTCTCCAGATCAAATACTTTTTGAGCTACGCGTGGCACAAGTTGAAAATTGCAAATTTTTACTAGGTCAAGGGCAATAACTACACATGCTTATACCAACATTTCTGTAGAGTTTGTTGATGACTATTATAAGCTTAAGAGCTACGCATGACACAACATTTTGTAATGAATGCACACACACACAACAAAACATAAATGGACAAGTGTAAATCCCCCACCCCATAGAGTAGAGGCATTAAAACTCGGGTGTTGAGCCACAGATAGATCTAATAAAAACTAAAGCTTTGAAAGAACTTCTAGAAGCCTGCCTTTTTAACAATGAAGAAGAACAAAAGTGTGTATCTTACTAATATCA